GTGCTAAAAGAATTCTTAAAACTCGCAGCAAGCACAATAGTCTGAAAACATGGTGTCTTTTATTTTAAAAATAAGATATGAATAGATTTATTATGAATTTCAGAATCTCATGGCTTGGAAAATGAGATCAGACCCTGGAAGTCTAGAGCAGGAGTCAAGCTTTTTCTGCAAACGGCCAGATAGTAAATATTTTAGGTTTTGTGGGCCATAGGATCTCTATCAAAACTATTCAACTGCCACTGTAGCACAAAATCAGTCATAAATAATACATAAATTAATGAGCATGGCTGTGTCCCAATAAAACTTCACAAAAACAGGCAGTAGGCCAGATTTCGCCCCCAGATTGTAGTTAGCCCAACTCCTGGTCTAGAGCATAGAGTTTATAAATGCTGACCACAGAATAAAGAAGTCAGACGTAATATAAGAACAGTTTTCCGTCTCAAAGGATATAAGAATAATCCCTCCCTGGATAGTGGAACAGCCTAGAGAGAAAGAGAGAAAAAAGAATAAAAGAAATTTACTACAAAAATAAATTTCAAAAAATTATTGCAAAAGATAAAGTGAATGTCCTTAAAGGAGTCTCTGTGCCCTCAAAAAACTAAGAGGATCCAGAGAATAGAAGGTATCTCTCTCTTAAAACTCTAAGGAGAAAGATGCTCTACACTCTAGGCCAAAAAGTATGCGGCTATGATAAAGAACAAACGGCAGCAGCAACAAAAGTTCCTTGTGTACCTGCCAGGGAATTGCTGTGGTGAAAGGGGAAAGGATTCCATAGCAGGCAACGTGGGGTCCACAGGCCACGGCTGGGGATGGGTAGAGAATATGGCTGGGCATCAGATAAGCAGTTTGAGCGAGTGCTGAAGTTTTACCAGCAGGAAAGATGTTCCCCGGGAGCAAGCACCGCATACACCCAGCTCTGACAGAACAAGCCACAAGCTGACTTACCAGAGAATGACATGAACTGTGGGAACTGGGGTGAAGGTACAAAGGGAAAGAGATGGCATTCACCCTCAGTGGGGGCCGAGGAAAATCAGACACCTCTTCTTCCCACTGCCCCGCTATACTCAAAATCACTTCTGTACCCAGAGGCCATCTTGGGGAGGAAGACGAATGTGAGAGGAGAAGACAGCCCTGAAAGGGAACGGGAATTTGGAATAGATGGAGTAGAAATCCTGAGGTGAACAAACAATTAAACAAAATAATATTTTAAACTCAAGTAAAGGATTTACCTTGAAGGGTGAAATTTGGAGCTTCTGAAAGTGTTTTCACTTACAGAAAAAATAAAATTAACAGGCATCTCCCCTAGTGAGAGGATGTGCCGTTACACTGCTCAGGTGAGCTCTTTCTCAGCAACGCCACTGGGGCCCGGCTCACGGCGTCATTGAGGAATCTTCTAATGCAGTTATAAAAACGCCAAAGCATTCTTCTAAGTTATTGAAGATCTAAGTCCTGCTTTACTGTGTGAGTTACAAATCTACTCCTGTAACCTGCAGACAGCTATATGAGGTATTATGCACTTCTTATGGATAACAAATTGAGGCATAGAAAAGTTCAAATATTTATCCAAGTCACAGAGCTAGTGAGTAACAGAGCCAGATTCCACCCAACAGTCCATTATTAAAATGCCTCGAGAGGAGATGCCACCTCCTTCTTGGAGGACCCAAAGAGATCTCCCTGTTTATTCCTATTCCTGACAGTCCCCAGCAGACTTTGCTTTATGTTGACCAGCACTCCTCCTGGAGGTCCCTGAATTGAGACATTCACAGGAATTAGAAACTGTCATGAATTCTTCTTTGTAAGTCCCAAACAAGAACTTTTCTGTAAGTCAGATCCTAGATATAAATTTCATTAGCTTTCAAGGTGCATAAGCTACAAAACTCTAATAACAACCACCCTATATTTCCATGAAATCTGTCTGTATTATTTAGAACCCATTGCAGTGGAGTATAGCTGATGAAACAATGCTCAGGGAGGCACACAAAAAAGAAACTTCCCCAGATATCTCACCCACAGGCACTCAAGGCAAAAGGCAGGCTATGGACACATGGAGACATGCGCATAACTGTCAAGTTCTGCACACACAGCTGCTTCGAGTTGAAACACACCACTTCCCCAGGAATGAAGAGTTAAATGAGGTACAGAAAATAGGCACTTAAAACTGATCTTGTTACTCCAGTCTGTTTCGTGTAACTCAATCTATAAGCTAAGGTTTTAGGGTTCCTTAAAATCCCAGTGTGCCCTCACCTACTCCCTAGTCCAAGCAGTCTTGTCACCGCTGGTACTGTGAAGGTCACCACCAGGGTCAATTTGCAGGTCTAGTCCAATTTAAAATCTCTGGCTGTGTCCTGGAGCAGAGGTTAGTTATTAAGGAACCAGGAAACACAAATTTCTAAGACTCTTTGAAAGTTACCCTATAAAATGCCAAACAGAAACTTCATTAATGTTAATTTAATTTGAAAGAAAGATGCCAAGCTTTAGTTTAAGAAGTTTTATCATCTCATAGAATGAAAAGAATAATGAAACGTTAAGCATAGTTATTTTTAAAGCCAAAATATCTTAAGACCCAAGAATTCTAGGTGTTTCTAAGAACTGACTGTTTTGCGTACTTCATAGATCTAAAATTATGCTAAAAGACAAAACACTTTCAGTCAGTGTGTTTTTCTAGTAGATATCATAATCAATCAAGTAGAGATTTCCAAAAGAAAATCAATCAATTGTTTTGATCTTTATATATTGTAGATCACCACTAAACAACATTTATTGAGTTGCTCTCCAGGCAAATTATCTGGTATTTGGTATAGAAGGTTTTTCTTAGAAGGATTTAGGATGAGGTTAACAAAAAAGGAAATTAAAGATGAAAGGAAAATGCTATATGGTGGGCAAAACAGATCTTTTTGAAGAATATGCTCTCTTTTTCTGCATCATTACAACCCATTTCAGGGGTGACTGTGCCCGTTGTGAGCGAACACTCGGATAAAGAGAAGCAGTAAGTCTCACTACTCTGAGGACCTATTGAGGCTCAGAGAGCTCCACATAAAAAGATAAACTGCAAAGGAAACGGATAGCAAATTTCAAGGGGTTCACACTGTAAAGGTAGGGGAACATCTCAGAAAGGCATTGTGTATTTGTATTTTCACGTAGGATTGTGAAAATCCTGCAACAGCCTTATCTATTGTGCTTTTATATGCTTTCTGTTCACAAAACTTTAGCATAATAATTGACTGTGTATTCTATACTATAATCAGATTATTTTTCCTACTTACAAAAATAGATGAAAATATACGCCTGTGTAAACATGAACATAGGGGAAAAGGCATGTGTTAACTATTACTAGGAATCTAACAGCTACAGACCATAAAACTAAATTGTTAAGGAAGTCAGGACTAATTTTGGTATTAAAACAAGGACAAAAAAAAATATGCTAAAAACATAAGCCATCATTTTATTATTATTATTATTTTTTTTTTTGGAAGGGGAAAGATTCACCCTGAGTTAACATCCATTGCCAATTCTCCTGGTTTTTTTTTTTTTTTTTTTTTTTGCTTGAGGAAAATTAGCTCTGAGCTAACATCTCTGCCAATCTTCCTCTATTTTTTTGTATGTGGGACACCTCACAGCATGGCTGGTGAATGGAGTAGGTCCATTCACCCAGATTGCCCAGGATCTGAACCCGGAAACCCAGGTCAGCGAAGCAGAGCACGTGGGACTTTAACCACTTAGTCATGGGGCTGGGCCCATAAACCATCATTTTAAACCAATAGTCACTTTGGAATTAAGAAAGAAAGATATTTTGATAAGAAAGATATTCAAGCAAGGGAAATATGGAAATGCCACTTTGTTGAGGATCTCTAGAGAAACAGAACTGATAGGATGTGTATATATATAGAGAGAGAGAGATTTATTTTAAGGAATTGGCTCATGCAAGTAAGAAAGCTGGCAAGTCCAAAATCTTCCAGGTGGGCCCACAGCCTGGAGACTCAGGAAGAACCAATGTTGCAGCTCAAGTCCATGGCTGGCAGAATTTCTTCTTTGCTCAAGAGTGGTCAGTCTTTGTTCTACTATGGCCTTCAATTGATTGGATGAAGCTCCCCCACATCAGGGAGGGGAATCTGCTTTACATAAAGTCCACTGATTGAAAGGTTAATCTCATCCACAAAAAAATACCTTCACAGAAACATCCAGAGTAGTGTTTGACCAAATATCTGAGCACCAGAGCCCAGCCACATTGACACACAAAATTAACCATCACATACTTGTTTTTAAGAATAATTTTACACCTTCCATTTACACATAGCACGTTTTAAAACAAGTGATATACATGTGAAATAGATAGAAAGGTTACCAGAACTCATGTTTTTGTACTGCAAATTAACTTTTCAAGACTTGTACTCAGTTGCTTCTTTATTTACACTGAAAAACTATTTGATACGATTAAATGTTAACTTGAAAATATACCGTTCTTTTTCTTTTTTGAGGTTATCATTTCTAAAATAGTATAACTTTGCCAGCAGGGATAATTTACTGATCTACATGAAATATTTAGAATACTCAAATCGCTACAACTGCAAGATGACATTTTGTCAAGATCACTAAGGTCCTTCATCTTTATAAAGTACGCCACTGAATGTTCGAATTTGCTTGGTGAACATTTTTCCAGTGACTTGACTTCAGATACATTTTTCTAGACATTTAAAATGTTATTGTAGCCCCAATTACTAGTTAGCATTCACATTTTATTTTTATACTGAGCAGCAGACTTCCTTAGATATCATCGGTAATCATCTCTAAGCGCTTGACACTCCTGCTCAACAACACCTGGTGAGAGGTCAGCTCTGTTGCTATCATTTCTATCTTCCCCAGAGCCGAGAGAGTATTCTTCTTCACACAGAAGACAGCCAGTATATCTTCTCTGTCACCTTCTTGAGCCAGAATCTTACCTGCCTGTAGCCTTAGCACTTATTACTTGATACATTACCAAAATCTGGAAGATGCCTGCCTACCATGGTTGGGGAGCATATTTTGGATGCTTGCTTGAACGGAGAATGGAGTAAGAAGGTGCCTTTCTTTAAGACATTTTAGTGTCTTAGAAGACTTCATTACAGAATGGTCCAGCTGGTCAGACTATAGATTGAGATAGCCCTAGTTAGATTTGTACTTCCCTGATGTCAAGGTGGAATGTCAACATTCCGCTTGTTTATAGAGAAATAAACAAAGGGATGAATATAAGGGAGAAGGGGAGAGCAGAAGATAATGTGGAAGGGTGGAAGAGAAAAGCAAGGAGTGAGGGAGAGAAGGAGGAAGGTTGGTTTGAGGAGAGGTGTTCTCTCAGTATTGATATCCTGTCTAAAAGCTGCATTCTTTTAACTTTTCCTGATAAAATGAAAATCTCCATGGTGGAAAGTAATAATGTTTACTGTCATTTAGAAGTAATCATAAAGTTATAATATTAAGACTTTTATTTGAGAAAGCTAATGGGTACCCATGGAAGAAGTGCTGAGGAAGAAAGTAGCAAATCTGAGAGACTGGGGAAAAAAAATCACACATTTCACAACTAGACTAGAACTAGGAAGCTAATCCTGTCTAGACATGCAGTTTTCCAGTGAAATGGAAGTTTGTACTAACGGTATTAAATAAACATTTAATACAGGGTTGGAAGCATATCTGACCCTGTGGCAGATTCCATTCAGGTTCCGTCAGCTTGAGTTAAAACATGAGGCAAGGACATATTAGGACATAGGCACATTAATTGTTACCAGTAAATGGACCAGAAAAATCATTTCTCACATATATGTACTACAGCTATATGTAAAATAAAAATTTTACAATGCTACTTAATTTATAGTGGCAGTACGGTATAGATGCAAGGAAATAGTTTGGAGTCAACCTGGGTTTGAATGCCAGCTTCATCACTTAGTAACTGTGTGGCCCTGGGCAAGTTACAAACCTCCCCGTACCTCAGTATTCTCACATGCAAAAGGGCTATATTAGAGTTGAGATGGGGATTAACTTGCTGAAATTTGTTCATATGCTTAGTTTGTGTCTGGTATTTGGTTGGCAGTACATAAATGCTACAAATTTTTTCAACATTATTGTTTTCTCAGTTAACAGATGTTAAAAGGACTACTACTTTAAAATGAGATTCCAATCATTTTTCATAATTGCTTATTCTTGAAAGGGTTGTAAACCACTAGAGAGGAAAAACTTCACAGACATATACACACAAAAAATATTGATAATTGTTATACATGTTCAAGCAGTGCATACCCACACGTGCACACATACTGAAGTTTGTACTGATTACATCTTTTACCCAATCTTCTTTTTGAAATGATCTTTTGTTATACACAATAAACCTTGGCCGTCAATGATATGAACACAAATGCCTTTGCTTTGAAACTGAACCAAAGTTACATGATTAACACAAATTAAATCATTGTAATTCATGAGCTTAATGTTTGAGCCTTTTGTTCGACATTTCCAAAAATTTCACTCCTTTTGTTTGAAATCAGGTAAAGGAAATCATTTTAATTTCCATTCAAATCTTGAGTCTCCTCTCGGTATGCTTAAAATGACTTCAAATAACAGAGAGACGTGAAGGGAGATTAATCAGTATCTAGCCATTCTCAATCTTGTTTAACTGTATTTTCTTTCTGTCTGTCTCTCACTAGAAGGAGGGGAGGAAAATTAGATTAAAACTTACCTGACTTGGGTCTGGCCCCGTGGCCGAGTGGTTAAGTTCGCACGCTCCGCTGCAGGCGGCCCAGTGTTTCGTTGGTTCGAATCCTGGGCGCGGACATGGCACTGCTCATCAAACCACGCTGAGTCAGTGTCCCACATGCCACAACTAGAAGGACCCACAACGAAGAATATACAACTATGTACTGGGGACCTTTGAGGAGAAAAAGGAAAAATAAAATCTTTAAAAAAAAAAAAAAAACTTACCTGACTTCATATGAGATTGTAACGAGAAGCATTTTCAAAAGACAAGAAATAAAGCAGAGGTAAACATTTATATAACAGTGAAGGTTATTATATGATCTGCATTTAGAAAGAAGAGAATTACAGTCAACTCAGAAAATGTGAAGCATATGTCACTCACTGAGTTTCTATCCTGAATAGCAAGGTGTCCTTGTTTAACAAGATAACTTATTTTACCAGAGGGACATAGTAAATGTTATTCTAGATCACCTAGAGAACAAAATAGTGAGTGAGTATAATGACTAGTCATAAATATTCATGAAATCAGGCAATTATAAGCATAACCATTGCTTTTGATTGTTTAGAACTGAACTGATTACCATATGAAAACCATTCCTTCGTGAAAGAGAGTTCTTTCGATTTAAGCATTAATATTTGGCACAATTCCTTTTGCAGAATATGTATAATACCTAATTTAAAATTCTCTACCATCAGTTTGGTGAGGGCAAAAGGTAGAAATGTCATTTTCCAAAGTAGTTTGCTATGCTTAGAAACAATGACCTTGAAAGAACAAAGGCTATTAAAAATAAGAGTAAAAAACATACTAATGTAACCATCTACCAGTAAAATGGTTTGGGTTGCAACACATTTTTCAAGAAAATAACCCACATTTTCACCTTTGAGCACTAACAATATAATTTTACTTATAAAACTTTTGGCAATTGTGCCAGTTTATAGAATTTTTATCTATTTCAAATTTTGGCTAAATTTTAAGATTCTCTACAGTATAAAAAGAAAAGAATTCTTAGGAGAACCATTTATGTCACTCTTGTGTCCTAGACCATACAGAGAGAGTAGGATATCATTCATTCACGCATTCATTCAGTAAGCCTTTGTTTAACGCCTATTATCGGTAGGCATTATTATAGTATGCTGCATCGCTTATATAATCAAAGGTAAAAATTATGAGCCAGAAAGGAAGAAAATTAAGACAGATTAGTGAGAGAAATACTTTGGAGTAGGCAAGTCTTTTGTAGAAGAAAAGAAATTCCTCAAATGATATCTAGAGAAAACCTACGTTGAGGCTCATGGTCACCTGGCAATAATGAGAGGCCCTGGCAATCCATGATGTTCCGTCACCAAATTCCTCACCCTCTAAAATGGAAATAAGTCAAAGTATACGTTGTGACTAGATCAATCTATCTAAAAGTAAATCTACTCATGTCCTTAGCATACTTAAATTCCTTCAAGATAAGGTCCAAATTCATTAGCATGGCACATAATTAGGTTCCTTCCTAGTGATAAATAAATGACCAGCAATAGGATAAATTCGAGTATATGAGGATGCCATTTGGGTTAAAACTAATTCCTCCTGGCTTTGTTTTTCCAAAAGGGCCAGATGTGGCCTGTTGAGCAATATCTGCTGTAAGTATTTACTATCTCGAAAAGACAAGAACAATGCCCTTAAAGACAAGGATGTAATTTTGCCCACATCTGCATTTCCTTAAGGATTAGCATCTCTCCCTAAACTAAGGATTGATTGCTGACCTGCTGCACTCACCTTGTGACCACTCACCTGGTGACCACCAGCTGGCTAGTTCACCAAATTGCTATGCCAGCAAAGCAATCTCCTGACTATTGTCAAAGGGACATTCCAATCATACGTGATGCATGCTCTTTGACATATATAACCACTCTGTGCACCCCACTTCTTTGGAAAGCTCCCTTCCTTTGTGAAAAGCCTCTTCTCGGCTACATCATCCTCACAGTTAACTCATAATAAACTCACCCCAATTATGATTTATAGCTTCTTTATGGACTATTTACATCGACACTAGTCAGACTCCAGTTACCATCAATTTATGAATATAATGAACTACTCACACACCACCATCTCTCCCAACACCAAGACAAGAAATTGGCAAGGAAAAGGGAACTTTCCCAGCAAAACTGCATGAGTGAAATGTACCAGGAATAGATAGACTTTTGGGGAAATGTTTAATGAAAGGAGACGATTTACCTGAAGCAAAGAGACCCTGCCCTCAGGAACTAAAATTTTAACAGTTCTTCCCTTTTTAAAAGTAAATTTTTTAATTTAATGAGTTACCTGAAATAAATGGGACACCCTTATCTAGAAGCCAAAGCAAATGCCAACTATTGTGAGAAATGAAAGAAAATGCAAGATTGAAAATTCAATTCTTCTACATCTATTAGAAGTCTAAAACAATGAAGTCAGATCATTTAAGTGTTTAATAATAAATTAGAATTTTGCTTTTACTGGCATCCCTAGGAAACGTAACTATCAGAGACAGGGATGATTTGTGCAATAAATAACCATGATTGGCAAAATGAGAAGAGAACAAAAAAACATACAGAAAAGAGGCGACCATAAACAACAAACACAACGTATCAGAGACGGAAAGAATATCAGTGTAAGTGTGAGATTGTGATGTTTCTGTCCATTACATCCATACATTCACATTTTCCTGGCTCTCCACCAATTCCTCTCCCCACACCTCCCTAGTATCTGTTCTCTTCTCTTTTCACTCTATATATTTGCTAAAGCATTTCCTCCTCTTCCTACTATGCCGATATTCCATGACTCCAGCTCAAACTCCCAAAACGTATGTCCAAAGTTGAACTCACCTTTTCTTCCTTCTGTAGTCCCCATCCCAGGAAAATGATACCATTTGCTCAGTTGACCAAGACATAAACTTAGAAGTACAACCTTGATTCTTTCTTCTTCCTATCTGGTTGGGTCAACAAATTACCCAGTCGATTCCGCTTTCGTATCTTCCAACACAACATCTTTCCAGCCTCAATGCCACTATTTTAGTGAAGTCTTCCTTATCTGACAACAGCCTCACAATTGCCATTGGACTCCAGGAACCCCTTTCTCTAATCCATTTTTCATATTGCTCTCCAAAATGCAATAATCATCTTGATTGTTGTGATGGTTTCACAGATGGGTATATGCACATATATGCATGCCAAAACTTACCAACAGAGTATATTTTAAACATGTGCAGTGTACTGTACATCAAGTATATCTCGATAAAGATGCTAACCAAAAAGAAAGTCTGATCATGTATCTGCCATCATTAAAATTCTTTAAGATAAAAATCCAAATTCGTTACTTGGCACACAAAGTCCTGCATAAGCAGACGCTAGTTAGTCTCTCTACCCTTATCTCTTGTCACTATCCTTACACTCTGCCTGCTCCAGCAATATAGAACTGCTTCTAACTCTTCACGTGTGAGATGTCTCTCTCTCCTTTTCTCCCTCTTTCCCCCAAACATTTATAGATGCTTCTCCTTCTGCCAGGGCATATTTACCTTCCTCTGTTCCTCTGCCTTACTAACTCCTACTTCTTCAAGACTTGGTTTAGGCATCATCTCCTTTGGAAAGATTTCTCTGTCCTAGCGATGTGGTTGGGTGCCCCTCCTAAGTGCTCCCAAAGCTCCCGAGGCACACCTCTATCAATAAGCTATAAATTCTTTGCTTTTCTCTTCTCTCTTCTCATTAGACCTTCAGCTCATTGGCAGGGAGTTAGTGTTAATCATCCTAGAATCCTCAATTTCCAATATGTACCTGACATATAGCAGACATATATTGCTTGTAAGTAAACTGATGTGTTAAAAATTGATTTATGGAGTTAACTTGCACTAAGTAAAAGGAAAAACTGTGACTTTGCAGTTGAAGTAATTAAACTTAGTTCCTAAGAGGGATATAAGCATAAGGCCAAAGAAGAGACTTATGATGATACTAGAAACAGTCCATAAATCATCCAAGAGACTCAGAAAAGGCTGACCTTGCCTCATTAGGTGTAAAGGTCGCGGCATTGGTATTAACACATTTATGCTCACTCAGACTCCTAATATCTTAGCTGCTTCTTCTCCATCTGCCTCCATGAATACTATAGGATAGGTAAACACACTTAAAAAAATATCTACGCACAGCATAGCCTATGCCCAAAGACACAGATGGTCTTTGGGGCCATGTTTACATGAATGGGACTGGGGAAGAATATTGTGCCTATGAGTGCCCATATGGATTCTTCTAAAAATAAATAGAAAACCTAACCCAATATGCCTTTCAATATTCCTAAGCAAAGTCAGCCACCAAATAGACTTGGCTCTAACAGAGCGAATAAATGATTCTTGAAATGGATAAACCATTGTTCTGACAAAGTAGGATATTTCTCATTGCATTTCCTGTATAAGCAATGCTATACACGTGGAAATATCCCTTTTGGTTGATTCTTCTTCAGATTTGTTTTGATGAATTTAGAGTGCTAGGCAATGGCTGAACAAGAAAGGAAAGTACCTCAGAGACATTCAAGTGCTAAAAAGGGCCAGAATATTCAGTAATTCATGGATACAGATCTGCACTTACTGTTTTCCTTAGTCAAAGTTTTCATTTCAGCTTATCAGTAGACTTTTTTTCTATGAGACCCATCTCCCAGTCTATATTTAAAGAAGCATCAGAGTAGAACTTCCTTTTCAGCTCTTAAAAAAAAAAAAAAAGAAGGAGAAATTTGTTTATAGTTTTGTTAAGTATAGTTTCTTTCAATAAGAAACACCTATGAAGAAACATCAAATTTCAGAGGATTTCTTAATAATAGGACATCAAGGTCATTACTGGTTGAATAAATACTTATAGGAAATGAGATTTTCTATGTTCAAAAAGAATAAAGGGGGGCTGGCCCAGTGACGTAGTGGTTGGGTTTACACATTCCACTTTGGCAGCCCAGGGTTCGTGGGCTCAGACCCTGGGCACAGACCCACACATGACTCATCAAGCCATGCTGTGGCGGCATCCCACATATAAAATAGAGGAAGATTGGCACAGATGT